ACACACACACACACACACACACACACACACACACACACACACACACACACATACACTATTTCTTTCTCTATTTCACTTTCTCTGAATTTACTTTTTTCATACTTACAACAATGATGATGATGGGTGTCCCTCCACTCCCTCCTTCTCTACTCCCTCCCCTTGCTCATTTTGCCCCTTAATCCCGTAGCTATCCCCCTCCTCTTTTTCCTCCGCTTTCCCCCTTCATCCCCTCATCCTTCCTTCCCAATTCCCTCTCTGCTCAACACCTAAAACGATGCTGAAAAAAATCACACTTTCAGTAACCCTGATGTTTGTGTTTACCCCCCCCCCCTCCACCTCTTTCCTCAACTCCCGGAAACCCCTCCTGAGTTCAAATAAAAATCTTACACACACACACACACACACACACACATACACGCACGCAGACACACGCGCACACACACACACACACACACACACGCACACACACACACACATACACACATACACACATACACACATACACACATACACACATACTATATTATATATATATATATATATATATACATACACACACGTCCACATAAACTTTGTTGTTGTAACTGTGTGTTAGTTTGTTTTATTTTTGTAGAGTTTTTACGGCACTTGCAACACAATAGGGTCATATTTTGATTGTCGTGATTGTGTGTGCTTGTGTATTTCAGACAAAGGCATCATCGACAAATTGGACAAGCTCTCACACTCCCTGTACACCATGCAGAGATACATGTACATGCCATACGGGGGTTAAGTCATAGGTCAAAGGTGAGTACGGTTGTTGTTGTTGCTGCTGTTGTTGTAGTGATGGTGGTTGTTGTGGTTGCTGTTTTGGGTTGTAGTGGTTGTTTATTGAACTTCCAATAATAATATGGTCATTTTGAATGATTTAGATCATGAGGTTCGAAGGTGATCTGCTCTATCAAAATAGCAGGATCATTCGAGTCACAATCAAGATATTCAAAAAATTGCATTTGAAAATGATTGACATACTGTGAAATTCAAAGCATGTTGACGTCAAATTTCTAAAAATGTTGTGCTGTGCAGATCGAACTTCGTCATTCTGAGTTGGCGATGTAGACCACAAGCAATATTAGTCCACTTTTTGAACTACCATACACACCAAAAAGCTGATGATGATGAAGATTATAAAAATAATCGCTGCCCATTTTCCCAATACTTTTCTTTTTATTTAAAAACGTATTATATAATAATAATATGTATTCTTTTATCTTCTCCAGGGTTACGAAGCGGTAGAACTCCGAAATTAGAAAAGGAGAAAGAGAGAGAGAGGGAGAGAGAGAGAGACGGGGGGACGAGATAGAGGTAGAGGGAGGACTCACAGTCTTCTCAGTTGTGTTGAGACGTCCAGAAAAGCGTGCGGCGACGGACAGGGAATTCATCGGGATAGCTAGACTTGACAGACGAAACGTTTGCTCATGTGTTAGAATGGAATATTTTACTTAATAAAGCCACCTGGTTTCCGAGACATTTTGTATTTTTGTTGGTTTGTTTTTGCTGCTGTTTTATCTATCTATCTATCTATCTATCTATCTTTCTCTCTATCTATCTATCTATCTATCTATCTATCTATCTCTCTATCTATCTATCTCTCTATCTATCTATCTATCTATCTATCTCTCTATCTCTCTATCTATCTATCTATCTATCTATCTATCTATCTATCTGTCAGCCTGCCTATCTATTTTTCTATCGATCTATGGATCTATTGGTCCACTCGAAATAGCGATCTATCGATCTGGCAATCTATCGACAATAAGTAGGTGTATGGAATTAATGCCCCTATCAACACAATTAGATTGTTTAAAAAGCTGTACCTTCAGATCACCAAATTTAACATCTGTCTGCAAAAAGATCAAGCCAAAAGGCTAAGAGCCTTGAAAACGACACAAAATGATCCGAGTTTAAGAACGCCCAGTCTGGAATGCAAACCAGGGCCACCCGCTCCTTAGTCCAGCACCCTAGTCGGAGCACTCTGTCTACCCATATAATATACATAATTCAGGAATTCTCATCATTTCTTTTGTTTGTGGCTCAATATCTAATATTAATAACATGTCCATTTGAAATCATTATTCATGTGTCATTTTCCTGGAAATCGGTAATAAAAATTTCTAAGGACACTCAAGCTTTGGGATTCGACATTTTTAGCGGTAGTTTTACCCCTGACACTAGACCCCCCCC